GCCAACTCGTGTCCTGGCGCATTTCAGAGAGCATACACGACCCTCGATTCAGCTCATTGAAAGCAGGGGCCACAAAGGTCAATATATGACCTTAAGTCACTGTTGGGATTCCACTGAGAGGTAGCCGCTCCGATGACCTCGAAAAGTCTTGTGGTACATCTAAATGGCATTGCGTTCAAACTTTTGCCTAAGAGGTTCCAAGATGTTGTGGGAGTCGCTGAAGGCATTGGCATTAGATGTGTCTGAATTGGCTTTCTCTCTATCATAAAGAGAAACACTCAAGACTAGTATTTAGAAGTAGCGAAGATGGGAGTCGTTTAGCAGGATGTGGCATTGGTTGTGGCTGCCTCTGATGCCAAAGACTCTAGTAGAGGTCTTTTCATCACCGATCGTCACCTCGAGACCGTCTTTCGATTACCTTACACCATAGCTGGTGTGACCAAGGGAAAATTCAACATGTCCCAGTCGCTCAATGAACCGGATTGACGTTCAGAGCCGCCCGTGACAAGTACTATTTGTGTCATCTTTGAATTGGTTGGAGTAGATGTAATGGGTCTTAACAAAGCTTTTCGGGACGAAGTTGTAGAACGGAGCAGATGATGGATTGCTGTTGTAACGACAGTTATAACTGTAGGCGCTCTTATAGTCATTTTGAACCGGCGCATTTGGTACATCCATTGCTTGCGCCTTCACAATGGGAGATGATTCCAAGAATACAACGTCGCGGTGATGTACGTCCTCAGAAATACATCCGACATTCGTGTTATCTTGTTGAAAATCCCCTGCGCATTGATCAAGGTGTATGTTCAGATGGGCAAGACACGTCTAGGATATGCTTACACATGAGCAAAACACTCCAAAATTGGGCTGATAATCGTCCAGGGCAACAATATCACGCCGCAACCACGCCCAATCGAAACAGGAGAGTCGCTCCGTGAGGACTGACATGATTCAGAACGGGCCTGTGGGCCGCAATGAACGCGGCTTTTGGCTGTCCATTAATCATGCTGTTTGCAAGCCGGGAGCTAATGAACAGTACCCAGATACGAATGCGACCATACGTACGCTTTGTACGCCCTACGAAAACTTGAATGACTGGATATAAAGGCATTTGGGTACTAAGATTCAGTGCCGCCGCAATACGCTGGTTACATAATCATCAGAGTGCAAGCATTGGCTGTCGGCTTCGAACTGATTGATCTGACCACCGGAATATGGTCCATAGGTTGCACACTCTGCATTGTACTTGGTCGAACCCAAGGCGTAAATTATCTACTCTTCGAGGGGAACTCGAGATAATTGAAATCACTCTTAGGTCAATGCTGAGGTTGTAACTCCTGTATCGTACTATACCGGCCAAACATGAGTGTCCGACATCTCCAGCGTTGGAACGACTAAATTTAGCAAGCGGCTTACAACTGGGTGCTCAGAGTTCGCAACAAGCAAGTTAAGCAAGTTTTGAGGCTCACTTGACTTGCTTGGGACGATTTTGCGGTAGTAACGAAACTTGCTTGACTTGGAAGCGGTATTAGCACAACTTGGTTGGTAAACTTCCATAACTTGGGTAACTTGGGTAATTATTATAGTTAACATATATGCAGATTACTGCGGGTGCGCCTCCCAGTTGCACAGATCATACTCTCCCTCCAGCAGCGTCTCAGAACGCGTTGCCTCTAGTTTCTCGACGATCCCTGGAGTTGGACGTTCGAATCCAGCACGTGTCCAAGCTCGAATGCACTGCAGTGTAGCTAGTAGTTGAGCTCCTATTTTGCGTCTCTTTAGCTCTAATAGATCACCGAGCTCGCTGAACAATCGCTCGCACTCGCAGCTGCTAGCAGGTATCGTTAGAACGTCAAACGCCAGCCTAGCTAAGTTGGGATACTTTGGTTGTAGTTCAATCCAGTAACGGATAGGATCACAGCCTTGAGTGAACTGCTCGCGCGTCCATTTTGGCTCAAGCTTCTTCCAGCGTTGGAACTCGTCGATATCCTCGTCGTCGCTGCTATCGTCGGCGTCAGCTATCGCGGCGATAGCGTCCTCGAGCGCGCTTTGTAGTGGCCTAGGAGTAGTTTGTACAGCGTTAGTTGGCTTGTATTGCTGCCAAAGCTGCTGGAAAGCTACGTTGTTAGCGTGTAACCACTCTGGCTTTGAGCGCCAGCTGCGATCGCAATAGCGTTTGTAGTACGGATGGAGTATTGTTGCGGCGTAGTAAAATGGTGAGCTATCAAGCTTAGAGTAGTAGGTGTTGGCTTTAGCCCAGGCGGCGCGGAGGTTGATGGGCAGATGATCCTCAGGAGCGTTGATCTGTTCGTAGTTGACGTGATTATATAGTTTAACCCGCTGCTCAAGCTCGTGTAGTAGCGTTTCGAACACCAGTATTACTGAGTATAGGGCGCCAAATTGACCTGATTTACCGCGCCCTTTAAGCTGTTTAGTGGCCTGCTTAAGTGGTTTCAACACCTCTGTATACTCCGATATCACCGCCCAATCTGCGGCTGTAAGGCCGTCTAATCGCATCCACTTTGGTACGTCAGGAACCCTGTTGCCGCGCCTCTTAGCGATATCGTCGAGATTGCGCGTGTGCTAGATGTGATAGTTGGCGTAATTGCTCACAGCGTGCTGTAGTTCAATAGCCCGCTCAAAGCAGCTATAGAATAAATTCCAACGCGTAACAACAGGCTTAATTAGCTCTAATATCGCCTTCTGATTGTTTGTGGGGAGCTCGGCGTTAGTAAGGAGCTGGAAACGGTTGAACAGATCGTACTGTTGGGGCGTTTTAATATAGTTAATCACGTCGATAAGTACGCCTAACGGGCCATCCTTGCGCCAATTCGTCATCGATTCCTCTTCCTCTGCGCGCTCCGCTGCGTCGTTATCGTACGAATCTAGATCCTTACCAAATATAATAGCCTGGCCGATGAGGTTAAGCGTATAAGGGCCACAGCGTAGGCGCTAGTAAGCTGCAGTAAACCCGTACTACCCAGCAAGATAGGTAACGGCTGTGTCGTTAGCGTACGCGTTATCAAGGACGAAACAACCAAGCCTTAGCGGCGATATCCCAAACTTCTGCAACGTTTGACCAACAACCTCAGCAATCCGTTCCCCAGTATGGGCGCCTGTTAACTGCGGCAGCGCGATAGGCATGTCGAAAACCGTCCCTAATGCGTCGGCGTAGTGCGCAACAATCCCAAAGAAGCCCCGCTTGCCTCCCTTTGTCGTCCACCCGTCAAAGCTTATATGGATTTTGCTAATAGCTTTAGACAGCGCAGTAACAACCAGGGTAACATGAACTCATATAGCCGTATTGCATACGCCTTAACGCTGTTAGCGCTCGTCCACAACGCACTCTCTGCTTCAGGGCTTGCGAAGCCTATCATCGATCGGAAAGCAGGTGTTTCAAGCTCGCAGAGAGGGTGGTTGTTCTCAATAAGCCACGTAACAGCTGCGTAGCGGAAGGCCTGTACGTCAAAGTTGCCTAGCTCATTAACTAGCTCCTAGCTAATTGCTACACCAGATCCAGTCACCATCGCAAGCGATCGCTAGCCAAATGCTCGCTTTGTCGCTGCTTGTAAGCCGATTTTTGTGAAGTTGTAACCTGCTTTCGGTTGCTTAAGGTAAGTAATCGCGGATGTAGTTGACTGCGTAACCTTAAGGACACTATCGTGTGAGCGACGCTGATGGCAGAACTTGCAGATAAAGTAGATCTCATCAGTGTTACTGCGCAGCGCAACTCGATATCCATGGTTGTATATCCAGCTTTTTTGGCGCTTCTGTAAGCGCAGAGGCTTGCAAAAGCGCGACAATCGACTCCAATTAATGCCGTCAAAGTTGTCGAGGAAACGCTCATCAAACGAGCTATCGACCTCGCGATTATCGTTGGCGGCGCTAGCTACCGTAGCAGCGTTGGAACCCTCGATAGGCGGTACAATAGCCTCGTTAGGCACGGCGTTAAGCAGCAACTGGCTCTCGAAAGGGTGCTGTTCGGTGGCCTGGGACGCTGCGTCGGCCAGGGCTTTGCGCGGTGATTGCCGCTGAGGTAGCTTAGGTGCTGATATTATCGACGAGCTTTGCTGAGTATCAGCTAGCTCTAACGGCTGCGTATTAGTGCCTGTACCGCGGGTGACGCGCACGCGTTTGGCGGGCTGTTCAGCAAGTCCTGCGCTACGTTTAGTACCTTTAGCGGCTCGTTAAACAGGCATAGAAGGCAGCAAAAAACAATAATAACTACAATAGCTCAAAAAGACTGTGATAATACACGCTGATATAGCAATAGGTGCAGAAGTAGGTAGTAAGTGTTAACGCTACGTGTTGGGGCGCGTAAGCTGACTACGTACCGTACCGTAAGCATAGGCCCACCTACTGCAACACCAAAAATCCTATCGCAGTTTTATTTTCCTGCAACAACAAAGACCTCATAAGGTTACCCAAGTTATTCAAGTTTACCAAGCAAGTTTGCTAGTTAAACTTGACTTGCTTGATGTTTTTATGTAGATGAACTTGACTTGCTTAACTTGGTGCCAAGCCAAGTTAAGCAAGCAAGGCTTGCAAGTTACTTGCTTGTTGCGAACTCTGTGGGTGCTGAACCATGTACACGCGACATCTTCACGATATGGAACTGGAACGTTATCTGCTAGTCACAGTGCATCAGTCTTTGCATCCACCGTACTTTCAGCATCTTAGAACACAGTCAAACCATCATTTCCCATCTTCTTCACAAATCTATATGGCATGAAGGCCTTTGCTCACCTTATCGCTGTCATTACGATGGCTATCGCAAATCCTTAGTTAGTGATTATTCCAAGGCCTTGCTAAATATTATACTTATGCATTTCTGAGCAGGTGGACGAAGAGCAACATCCCTGACGGTGTATCACACCGGAACTTGGCCCAATTCGCCAGCACAAAGTTCGTTGATATGGACAACACTCCGAGTTCCTACACAGCACTTCGTTAAACCGTCAAAGACTCCTCTCGTCTTCGTGAGCCACTACCGTGGCAGTATGGACACATTGGATCCTGTCCTCATGAACATAACCGCGCAAAACCGTGAGGCGATTCAGCTCGAAAACACCGGCATTGGCCATAGCAAAGGCACTATTCCGGATACCCTCGACGCTATGGCTGCAACAGTCACAGATCATCTCACTGCCATCCACGTGCCCAAGGCTGATATCCTTGGCTTCTCTCTGGGCGCCATGATCGCTCAGATGATCGCAACAGATTATCCTCAGGTGGTCAATAAGCTGATACTGGCTGGAGCACGATCCGGGTCCGGTCCAGATGATTCCCAGACGGCGCCCGATGCTGGCATGGGCCCGAGCGGTGAACCTGATCGTCAACCCACCGAGGACTATATGCTTTATATCCTCATCTATCCATCCAAGTCAAGTAGAGATAAAGGCAGTATCTAGTGGGCCCGTATTCATGAACGCCAGGTGGATGGTGAGGAGTGGGAGGACTTCCTCGTCAGTGCGGGCGTCGCAGCCCAGATCACGGCTATAACCACCTTCGCCAAGAATCCTAAACGTTATGCTTGACTCGCTAATACCACCGGGCCAATATATGTCACAAATGGAAAGACCGACATCCTAATGGAAACGGGCACCAGCTTTGTTCTTTAACAGCAGTTACCAGATGCGCGGCTACGCCTCGATCCCGATTCAGTCCATGGACATCTCTTCCAGTCTTCCATGGATTATGTGATGGAACTTCAGCATTTCTTGAATTGCTAAGCTTCGGGTGTATGAAGTGCTGCAAGGCGGTTCTTTGTGTAAGATGGTGAAGGACGTGTTTTGATACGAGTTTCGATTCGCAATCTTTTGTATCGTAAAGCTTGGCCTGCATCTCCAGTCTTGAATAATATAGCATCCTTTTGCTTGAGAGCTTCTCGTATTGCTCGGTCTTCGCGGCATAACTTGAATTCGCAAAAGCGTTCAACCCCGGTCCACTGAGTATAGCAGCTTAATGTGAGAAGCAACAAGCGGGTCAATCAAGGCGTTGCGAAGCCAAACTCGCGCAATGAAATGAAGGTCGCGATGCGAAAGATTTCAGAGCCTGGAGAGAGACCGACAGTTGGGTGGCGCGATATGGAGAGAAGTATTGTGTATATCTACATTGTTGGAACCGTGCGATGTTTGTCGAGCCATCCACCCCACCCCCTAACGGGCAGCACTTTTCGGGCAAGGCTGCCGCGACTAGCGCCCGCTTTGGTGCGAGTGAGTGCCACAGGAAGGCGCCATTGAGATAATCTTGGCTTATTGAGAAACAATATGTGACAAGAATTAACCCTGCCAACAGGAACATAGCTCAAGGAAAGTGGCAATACTCAGCGGCACAGGCAATGTCAGACATGTTGGTATTGTTGCCTACGGTAAGCAAGTGACTGTGCCACAATAACCGAAATCCTTTTCACCCCCGCCTTGATTGAGTATCACATCAATATGGCTAACACACATCCCCACGCCCCGTTACTTTTGATTTTCGAATTAAGGTCCTCCGCTCACAATTGATCTTATGCGACTGATGGCGGACCGAAGGTTGCTGAGACTTCACGGTACTACCTTAGGTTCTCAACGAACCCGCGGGATAATTCCCGCCCGACCACATCACTAAATATCATTGCCTCTTCCTGATTTCGCCCTTGCCAATCATACTTCAACATCCAGAGACGCTGCATAACGATAGCGCTTAACATGCACCCGCGCGCAACTCGTCATATGAGGATCCCAGGCAATGAAAAGCGGACGGACGCATTGGTGGAGCGAGACGTGGTGGGCTATCATTTGAGAAACACTACGCCACTGACGGTAGCTACGCGCACTCTACTCCGCCTATGACACGTAGATACAGCAGGTTTCAAGCAACTCTATTCACTTTAAAAGGCGCACCCACTGCTCGAGCATGTGTCTTTCGCCTATACTCCCTTTCCACATATTCTTGAAGGCTCTCTGGTTATGGTATCATACTTCAATTTGCTATCATACTTCGATTTGCTATCCTACTCTACTTTAAAATTTGATACAGCGCTTACTGCCGCACCATGTCTCTGCAATCCGATGAAACGAAAGATTTGTTGGACATTGTCGACAATCTCCGATCACATGGAATCAATCGATACATCGACCTGCCCGAGATTATCGTGTGTGGCGAACAGTCCTCCGGGAAGAGCTCAGTTCTTGAAGCAGTTTCAGGCATGAAGTTTCCGAGTAAAGACAACCTGTGTACTAGGTTCGCGACAGAGTTAATCCTTCGACGAGGTGCAGATGCACCCATCAAGATTGGTATCGTTCCCAGTTCACGGGAAAGGGATCGCTCAAAATGTGATCTGGAGAAGCTGCACAATTTCCACTACTCCGTCTCGCCAGAGGACCTGCAACTCGAGGCTGTGATTGAAGCCGCGAAAGATGCAATGGGTATATCTGAGGGGAGCGATAAAGTGTTCAGTTCTGACATCCTTCGCCTGGAGCTATCAGGGCCCGAAAAACCACATCTTACTCTTGTCGATCTGCCCGGACTGTTTCAAGCTGGTAGCCGTTCCCAGTCGGAAGAAGATAGCGAGACAGTCAAGTCACTCGTGCTCTCGTATATGAAGAACCCACGTAGCATCATACTCGCCGTCGTGTCCGCCAAGAACGGCTTCAACAACCAATCGATCACAAAGTATTCGCGTGAGATCGATCCAAAGGGGCACCGTACCCTTGGACTGATTACGAAGCCGGATACGCTAGACGAGGGATCTGATAGCGAACGGTTCTACCTTGAGTTGGCGCAGAACAAAGACGTTAAGTTCCGCCTAGGTTGGCACGTGCTTCGCAATAGGGATTTCAATTCCAAGGACACGACTACAGAGGAGCGCGACAAAGCTGAAGCTCTGTTCTTCGAAACCGGAATATGGAGGTCGCTTTCGACCGATCAGACCGGAGTCCACACTCTGAAGCCTAGACTCAGCAAGATTCTCAAAGACCACATTGTAGCACAGCTACCAGATGTGCTCGTGCAGATTAAGGACGGTATTCAAGAATGTACAGCGAGATTGGACACTCTGGGTGCATCCAGGGCGACGTCGCAAGAGCAGCGACGATACCTTCTACAAGTCAGCCAGTCATTCACCACGCTTGTCAGAGCTGCTGTCGATGGGCAATATTCGGATCCTTTCTTCGGTGACTCTTCCACCACTGAAGGCTACCAAAAGCGTCTACGAGCGGTTCTCCAGAACACACTGACAGAATTTGCGGCCGATATGCGCAAGAAGGGCCACACTTTTACTATCATGGACGAAGGCCCGACTAAGCTACCTCATCAAATATCTCGCGCGGATTACATCTCAAAGGTCACCAAGCTCCTAGAGCGAAGCAGAGGTCGAGAGTTGCCGGGAACATTCGATCCACTTATTGTTGGGCAGCTGTTTCATGAACAGCGAAAGCCTTGGATGGAACTTGTCGATCAATATCTAGAGATCGTTCTTCATGCTGTCCGCTTCCTTGCTCGCAAGGCTCTAGCGCACGTCTGTGATGAAACAAGTCTCGCTGGTATAACGAGGCAGTTTATTTACGTCCGGTTGGAAAGACTTACCGCCGAACTCCGTACGAAAGTAGCAGAGCTTCTGGAACCTCATAATACCGGCCATCCGATCACGTACAATCATTACCTCACGGACAACGTACAGAAAGCACAGAACAAACGGCGAGCACAAGAGCTCAAAAAATCATTGGAGGGGGTCCTTGGCGGAGACTTTACTGAGAGTGGCGTACGCTACATTTCAATCGACGTGAAAGTCCTGGTTGACGCACTCGTTTCCAAGACCGAGGCAGATATGCACAGCTACGCGAGCTCTACCGCCACAGATTTCATGCAGGCTTACTATAAGGTAAGGTCACTTGTCTTGCCTCTTGTGCAAGTCACTAACAGTTGTAGGTCGCACAGAAGAAGATTATTGATGACTTCAGCGTCCTCGCTGTCGAAGCGCGTCTTATTCAAGAACTTCCGTCTTTGTTTTCTCCAGCCGATGTCATCGACATCGACGAAACCACCGTCGCTGCTTTGGCATCAGAGAGCGAGGAGTCTTCAAGGGAGAGAACGCGCTGCAGTGAAAAGCTTAGGATCTTGGAAGATGGGCTCAAAGCTCTACAAAATGTTCGCGACGTCTCGCCACTCCAACGAGGTACGATATATCAAGAGGGGTTTGGTCGAATCCTACCGAGGGGATAGAGGCTCACGTCATCCAGATACTGATGAGCCCCTTTTGGAGAATGTCACAGATTGGGAATACAAGCATCAAACCCCTGAATCGGCAGAAACCTTAGCAGACCACAAAGAAGAGGTCCACCAAGTTGTGGAAGAGACTTCCGCTCACGATCAAGCCCCTACGCCTGACGATCAATGGGGTTTACCAGTCCCAGTTTCTATAACGAAAAACAAGAAAAAGGGGTCGAAAAAGACCCCCTGGCCAACTGAGATGCCATTTGAGTAGAGAACGCCCTACGAGACATGTTGCTTACCACTGGGAAGAAGAAAGCTTGTTGAAGTAAATCTAATTCTTCGACAGTCGTTCCTGAGCGACACCATGAGTCGGCAAAAAATACAAGCCTGCTAGGCAATTTGGTCCACGTTGTGATACTACTCTTAACAAACATAGCACTCTAGCTTCCAAAAACCACTGATGGCCCTTAGCCCTCACGGCGTTAGTTAGGCCCCGGTAAAGCGTTCGCCTTGATCCACCAAGTGTAGCTACTCTGCGTAAGCCACAAGCGGGTCAACGAAGCTATGACGCAAATTCGAACTCGGGCGCCGAGCGCACCAGCAACAACCCCAGTTTTAGTGACACCTTCACATCTTCATTCCCGCAACCTTCCCCTTCTCCGGTTCACCCTCTTCGTTCTCATATAGCGGGTTGACCTGCACTTCCCTCAACCACAGCCTGAATGACTTATCCAGCGTCTTCCTGTTCATAATCGCACAATCCTTGATCTCCTGTGCACTCAAATACGACACCGCTTCCGCATCACCCCCCGCGATGCCAATCGCCCGTTGCAGTAGTATGCAGTTCTTCTGGGTGTATATCGACCGATACACCGCTTCTTCAATGCTAGCTCCAAACGTTGTAAACCCGTGCTTATGCTGAAGTACTACAGGGTTCTCAGGTGTGAACCGCGAAGCCAAAGCTGCACCAAGCATAGCGCTCTTAATTAGCAAGTCGTGCTCCGATGGTGCTCGCGCCGTTCCGTATAGACTGTCCATCGTAAACACAGATGCGCCACCCTGCCCGAGGAAGCCAGCCATATGGAACACCGGTCGCACGGGATGCGGCTCTTGCGCACCATGTCCTACGGTGAATGGAATGACGTCCTCCGAATGGGAGTGGACGACGCAGTTCACCTTAGGGAACCTTCGCATTATCTCGCCGTGGATGTAGCGCTCGCTGTAGCCTTGTGGTGCATCAGCATCGACAGGCGTGGAGTCCTTTACCCAGTAAGATATGAAGTCGCTCATATTCTTGACTAGCGCTGGTGCGCCAGGGTCGTACGCGGCGATGATATATTGCTCCTTGTTCAGCGGGTGTCGCACAGATATGTGGCCGAATGCGTCGACGAGGCCATGATGGTGTAGGATGTGGTTTGCGCGGATGAGCAGGCGCAGTTGCTGGTGGAGCGGAGGTGGTATCGACATCTTTGGTTGCCGTGGTTTGCGATGCTTGAGATGCGTTTCTGACGCGGTCGCGAATTCGGGTGATCTTGGTGATGGGGGTCCTGTTTTGAGCGATTCGGCCTTGAGCGATTCAACCCTTGCCTCTTCAATGATCGACAGCTCTCGTTCTTTTGATGGTCTCAGGTATCCTTGCAGTTGTGTTGGTATGGGTGGATGGGATGCCAGGGCACGTGGATGAGAGCCTTCGGCTTCACTTTGATTCTGTTCGGCGGCGCAACGATTGCAAAGTACCATCTGTGTATTCAGCACTCATGTGTGTGCATTTTACTGCGTCCAGAGGACAGATGCCTTCACTTATGAAGCTTGAGAGCGATGTTTCAAGGCGCCGGTGGAAATAGTCGCCCTTGAAACCGCGGATGCCTTGGAGCGCCTAGCTCCTTTCCCTAGCTCTCGACTCTGTGTCGCAAACTTGACGAAGTGGCCTCTGTGTATTGTGCAGTGGTCGAGCTGCGGCAGGCGACCGGTACTTTGCGCCTGTCGTGCACAAGAAAACTTGTGTATCGTGGCATGCTGCTTGATGTGGCCGCCGAGGTGTTACGGATGGAGCCGGGCGATTGGACGTTGGTGAGGGGATCCGACGTTTTAGTGCCGTTAGACTTCCCGCCCGCGACATCCTTCCGATCCCTTACCCACCCCACATCGCGCTGACGCTACGACTCGCAGCCTTCAAGCTTGCGACTTGGAGCGGATACTGCAAACTTTCAGGGACAAGCCTTCAGGAACGCGACGTCTTCGCTCTCTCATCAGGCTTCGGTCAAGCGATAGTATCCTGCTTCCCGCCTCATAACCTCAATCAAAATGGTGGCTCAATACATACTGGCCGGCATTGCAGCTGCGGGACTGGCGTTTTGGTACGACTTCAAAAGCTGGCAAAGACTCGGTTCGCGATTCTCCATATATTCATGAGCTGCGATTGCTGAAATGTCGCAGGAACGGGCGGCACACCTCCAACATTAGAAGGCTACATTAAGATCCGGCGATGGGGACTCTATTTGCTTTATACGCGTCAGAACCTCTTGGATGCAACACCAATTCCCGACTCGGGTACTTCCTACATCAAACCTCAGAAGGTTCCTGATCGCGTCGGACGTAGACCTGGACTTACGCGTTGGACATTACCACAACGCCAATTACCCGAAAGGATAACGCCTGGCGCCTCCACCACCCTTCACAATCTGATGCATGAGTTCGCGAACACAGCGGCATACTCAAAGTACATCGAGACACGCCCTAGCAAAACGGAGGGGGGTACTGGCCCTGCCATATACGTAAAACCAGACATCAAGACCATCAACCCTGTCGCGCACAAGATCTTCTATGAAGTTGCGCATGTGCACCCGGCGGAGAACTCACTTCATGTATATGTGAGCCCGCAAGACGCGAAGCTGGTGATGAAGAGGGGTTGGGGACAACGCTTCCCGGTGACTTGGTTGGCACCGCCAAGCTGGATCATGGTGTATGCGCCGAGGAATGAAGAGGAAGTTGAGATTGTCAGGGAGATTGTCCGCGCTGCAGTATGCCACGCCGTCGGAATCAATGTGGGAGCTGGAACATGATCGAACAGAAGTGAGCAAGGCACGTGGTGCCGCCCAATGTCATAGTCTTACGCATGATGAGATAGTCAGGAAAGAAGCTAGTTGCCTTGGATAGACACGATATACAGCCCAAAGCCTCGCTGCAAGTGACCTTCATTTTTTCAATCTTCATCAATGCCCGAGTCTTCTGTCAAAGATGAAGTCTTCACTCCTCATCCCCATGTTCCATGCGATTGTCATTGCTGCACTTCTGTCATCCTCTGATAGAAGCACGAACATATTATATGAACGCTAAAAACTAGATGTCCTCATAGTGCTGATAGTGCATCCGTTCAGCCCGAGCCACCATGATACCTCAAACTTTCCCTGCATTATCACGTCATAGCCGTCTGCGCCTGTTCTTAGGGTACGCACGAAGCGAGCGGAGGTCGTGTTGCGCTGTATACCTAAGCACGGGATTGGGGAAGCGGAGAACCGACATCAGGCGCTAATGATGATGGCGCCCGCCGCTTCCGCTACCTCTGCATCTCCCCCACTCTTTTGCACTAGCATACACATGTCCGGCGGGGTGAATGACCTGCATTATGGCTTCGGGCTGGCACTTTACATCAAAACTGCTCACGCCGCGACCCAAGGTCATTCGAAATGCAGACCTTCGAGAACGTCCTGTCACTTTCGTTGCAACACCACACCACTCTCGTATTGAAAATCACAACTTGCCAATATGGGTAGCGTCGACAAAAACCTGAAGGCGATCATAATCGGCGCCGGTATGTACTCAACTCCTCGTCCCAAGAGACGCTCATTAACATACAAAGGCCCTGCCGGGTGCGCGCTCGCTCACGGTCTCAAGAAAGCTGGCATCTCGTTCAACATATACGATAAAGGTGACGATGTCTACAGAAATCGTCACTGGGCTTTCACGTTGGGTTGGGCACGACCGTACCTTTTCGATCTCATTCCAGAAGAACTCAGCGCGCAGATCAACTCATGTCAAGTAGACCCGTACACCGACTGCGCGGCAATCGGCGAAGATCGGATCGTCATCTACAACGGCCAAACGCGAGAAGAAGCGTTTGCTTTCCCAATCCCGAAAGCACGGGAGATCAACATCCGAAGACTGCGCATGCTGTTAGCGGAGCGACTGGATGTCAGATATAGCAAGAGCTTCTCGCACTACGAGAATATCGAGAACGGCCAGGTGAAGATTCATTTCGAGGACGGCTCAACCGATGAAGGCGACATTCTCATCGGTCTCGATGGGGCCATGTCGAAGGTCCGCCGCTGCCTTTTACCTCGAGAGGGCAGCATGGACACGCTTCCGTTTGCCTTGATGAACTTCAACGCCTCGTATACCGCCGAGCAAGCACAGTTCATCAAAGATCGCCTCCATCCACTGGTAGACATTGCAATCCACCCTGCAGGTCATTACATCCGCGCGAACGTGCTCGACATGCCGGATGAGAAGGACGCAAGTACCTGGACATTCCAGATACTCTCAACGTGGCCGCTGAAGTATGTCGAAGACCACGATAACGAAACGGATCGACTGGAGCGCCTCAAAGCGCACGTCAAGAGAGACGGGTGGGCAGAGCCATACAAAAGCGCCATCGAATGGATACCGGAGGGCACACCAGTATTGCGCGACCAACTGAAGATATGGAAGACGGTTCCTTGGGACAACCAAGACGGACGAGTGACGCTGTGCGGCGATGCTGCGCACGCTATGACCTTTCATCGTGGGCAAGGCGCCAACAATGCCTTCTACTCCGCGCATTGCCTCGTCGAAGCGCTGAAAAGCGTACAGAGCGGGAGCGCAACTCTCAAAGATGCGGTCACGGCTTACGATGAGAGCATTTGGAAACGCGGCGCAAACGAAGTTCAGATCTCGAAGGCGCAAACGTTCTTCACCCACGATGGGTTGGACAACTTTATCAATAGCCCCGTCATGCAGTTAGGGACGAAACCAAGTCATGCTGCGAAGACAGAGGGGTATCAGTAGCTTGCTAGCCAAAGTAATGCGCGCCCGAGCAATATGGTTGGTATTTGATTCTTGTCCAGCCCACATCATTCTGTTAGTAGTAGATTGCTAGTAGAGTAGTATAGCAAGAGTTCTAATTACTGTTGTTGACGGCGCTGTACAGTCGCGTGCAGCCGTGGTTTTAGTGATGTCTTGGCAAAAGCGGGCAGCTCGCTTGTGGAGTACTTTATATGCTGTTGCGAACAGATAGGGGAGGATTAGAGGAGAACTAGGGACGTTGTTGACAGAACGGCAACAGCATAGTTAGGCACACGCTTTTTAGCGTTGAGAACTAATGTGCCAGGAGGACGAGAGCGGTAAAATAGATGCGCATCGCACTTGTTTGTATCCAAGAACACCAAGGACAATTTGAGAGTCTGGATCAAAGTGTGCCTCGTTACACCGGGCGTCCCGTCACGCTTGGATTGACATTACCGGTAGCGTGCATCACAGACAGCGGAATAAGCCGTAAGTGTCGCTGGGAGTACCAGTTCCATTTGCATGTATTTGCGATCGCCTCTGACAACAAAGAATCGCGTCGCACGCTCGCCAGCACCGCAAAACTGTCGGAGCGACATCGAAAGTTAAGTGAGTGACGAACATAATAGGACGGTTGCGATAAATCTGGAATGCTTGATGTTGATAAGTTCTGAACATATGCGGCTGAAGCGGCTAGTCCTGGTGAGGCTGCGAAAATCTAGATCCGCCACGCGGAGATGACGATATGCACTTGAGACCACTATCCTGGCAAATTTGCCCAAATCTCAGTCTAGATAGCGTTCTGTAGGTCAACTATCGCAAGATTCCGTATCGGAACAGCTTCCCCAATCGCGTCTATTACAAAGGGATGGAGTGGCATCATGTCAGGCCATTGATATTCGAGTCAGGGCTTGATCGCTGTGGAGATGGATCGTGGATCATTTCGCTCGCTTGTTGCCCACCTTGCGGAAAATCTTTCCCCCCACGGGCAATCAGCCTGCCCCTGCATGTATGGCGCTCGTGTCGGAGTCATGTCAACCCCTATGGAAAAGGACGTAGAGAAAATTTGACAGACTACATAGCTGTCTCCCCAGCATCATGATGAGTTTCGAATTGGGCCGTTTCCTACACTATATTTCTGCCGACAACCATGGCGCGAGAAGATCGATCTGGGGAGTTCACCGGTGTCTTGGGCTTCTTCATTTGTATCTGCACCCTGCTGGTACTGCTTCGATGTTACTGCAAGTTGGTCATCGTGAAGAACTTCGCGGCCGATGACTACTTTTCTGTCCTTACCCTAGTATCCTTCTTGGTCTTTTGTACCCTCGCGCTACTAGGTATTCAGAATGGAACCGGAAAGCGACGCTATCTTATTCCGGACGAAAAGTATCCCATGGGCATGAAGGTGTGCAGTACCATGTCAACAGCATATTCCACGAGGCTAACAACTTGGATCAGTGGTGGTGGGCTTGCGAACCTACATACGTTGCTACGAACATTTTTCTCAAATTCAGCATCGGCATCTTCCTGCTGCGTATCGCCGTTGAGAGAACTCACCGCACCATTCTTTGGATCGCCCTGATCGTCATCCAAGTCTACAGCGTGTACTTCTTCTTCCTCTTCACCTTCCAATGCTGGCCTGTCTCATTCTTCTGGGAACAGTTTCGCGGCGGCAAAGGCCACTGCATCCCCTCTAAGCTCGTTGTGAACTCATTCTACGGCTACTCTGCATTGTCCTGTGCCACGGACTGGACATTCAGTATCGTTCCAATCTTCATCGTGCACAAGTTGCAAATGAGTAAGAAAAAGAAGACTACTGTGGCTGTTGTACTCGCTTTCTGCGCTATGTAAGTTTATTTCGTCTTCAATGTGTTCCTTGCATTGTATGCTAACTCGACACCAGCGGCTCCACCGCAACAGTCATCCGCATCCCATTCATACACGGGCTCAACGACATACCGGACTTCCTCTACTCTACTATTGACGTTGCAATATGGTCCACCTGCGAAACTGGCATAGGCCTCGCCACCTCCGCCGCCGCCACTCTCCGCCCCTTGCTCCGCCAGGTCTTTGGCGACATGTCGACGCATGATAGCACCTCTCGCAAGCACTCGCGCATGTGGAATTCGGGACACCCGTCACGATCAGGGTACCGGGAACATGCAAGCCAGCGTGGCGAAAATGATATTCAGCTCAATAGTCATGATTCGAAACACCAGACGGTCCATGTCGTAGGTGGAGATGGTTCGAGCCTGAGCGGGAGTACGATGGAGTTGAACCATGATTGGGAGCAGGACAAAGACAGTGGGCTGGCTGATGCAGGTGAAGCGGGTCACAAGGGGATTATGAAGACGGTGAAGATCACGCAAATGTAGAACGAGGTTGACGTGTGACAGAAAGATGTTACGTGCCCGAGGGGTACCGTGGGTGTTTGATCCCCGTCCAGCCCGCATCATTCTGTGTGGAAACCGACTACTCCTCATATTGCTTCTTCCATTGTCGAGCTGACTCGGTGACGCACAGGGCGGGCACTAGTCGCGGCAGCCTTACCCGAACAGTGCTGATCATCGGCGGCTCCGCGAACATAGTACAGCAACCAAAATCTAGATCTCCTAAATCCTCGTGGTCAATATCACAGCACCCTCACAAAAATGCATAGCCTTTCCTATTGCGATATTCCGCTCACCACATCAGTACGCCTTTGCGGTATGGCCTCATTGGCCCGTTTGTGGCTTCTCCTGTTAGATCGCGACGAGCACCTCCACAACAGCAAAACCACCATGAGTTCCATAAATGCTGTTGTGATCCCAACAAACATACAGCATTGCGCACTCTCTTGTCCATTACGCCGGACACTGTCCGGGAGCCCTACCTTTCGCCGACTTGTCACTCGTTCCGTCACGCAATCAACACCATCTTATGAAAAACTCTCAATGCATAATTCGTCATCATGCGGTCCCTTCTCGCTACAGTACGCGCGACCCTACCGATCGTCAATGCTGCTGTAAGCAGTCCACCCCTTAGCAAATCAGGCCGCTGCGGAAGCAACTTTGGCCTTACATGTACCGGCTCATCTTTTGGTGACTGCCGCTCGTAATACAACTACTGCGGGAAGACATCTGCTCACTGCAACTCTGGTTGCCAGCCTGGCTTGGAAATTGCAGCTCTTCGTCTCTTTCTCTTGAGGTGCCCGCAAAGGTGTCGAAGGATGGATCTTGCCGGGTAAAGACAGGATTCACTTGCTTGAAGTCGTCTTCGGCAACTATTGCCCGAAGTAAGTCAAGATTTGGTATCACTATGATAGCCCGCTGACCAAGAGATGCTTACAGACACGGATACTGTGGCACTAGATTCAATCCTACTTTCGGTTCCTGCTCGAGCTCAGCTGCTACCTGTTCTGTCTCTGCAACGCGTTCAGTCTTAACTTCATCTCGCGCTACTCCCATTGCTGCCTCGACCGCCACAAATACTGCCATCAGGAACATCTACACCAATGCGCGATGCGGTAATGCTTACGAAGCTTCACCTCTCGACATGACTTGTGTTGGATCCAAGTGAGGCAGTTGCTGCAGCCAATACTCATACTGGTAAGTTCAGCCCATGCCTGTTCCATCAGCTGCTTCTGAATACTAGTGCAGCACATCAGAAGCACCGATGCATACTGCGGTACTGGATTTCAGCTAGGCTTTGCCAACTGCGATTCTGCGTCCTCGTCCCCATCGTCCACTTCCGCGGAAGCTCCGATCACGTCATCAGGGGTGCGAGCGACTACAAACACATCCGAAATCCCTTCGGTCGCCTCATCATCAAGCAATGCGTTGTCTTCCGCTACAGCGTTCGAGACCACGAGCACATGGGCTACCTACCCTGCCTCGTCTTCTTTGCCCACGATTGCATCGATCGAAAGCTCTTCTCCAAGTGCATTCGCAACAAGCGCTGAACGTTTAGAATCGGAGAAGGGGACCTCGTCGTCGATGGGTGCTGTGGCAGAGTCAGCAGCTGTTGCGCAGATCGTCTCGGCGTCTAGCGAGCTTCCAGCAATGTCCATGAGCTTGCTCACAACAGAAGATATTGCTACCTTCACAGATGTTGACACTAGGTCTTCTAGCACGTCCGCTTACCCTTCCAACTCACAATCCGTACCTACCAAACTATCAAGTACAGCTGTATTGCCACACACTACATCAGATGTTACTTTGGCTGAAGCTGAGACTGTTTCTGCCGTCGCATCGGCTACCGTCTCGGGAACGCCTCTTGAGCTCGCAACCACACACACACCATCAAGAATCTGTTCAGCTGATACAACTGACCAACGATGTGATGATCGTGATGATGATGATGATGATGATGATAAGGATGACCGAACTACGTGTTGCATTGCGCTTTGTACTCCAGAAACCTAAGGCTGAAATCATCTTGTACTGGGGCTGAAGAAGATCAGCTGAATCAATACTGCAACCTAAGATACCAATAGCGGGGAAGGAGGAGCTGACACCTCCAGAGCTGTGAGATCTTGCTCAGCCGTACAGCCTTGCGTGAGATGGTCATAAATTTCAACTAAAGCTGAGCGATGAGTCTGCCTCATTTGTAGCTAGACTGAAAACAGCTGACGTGCCGGAGGCGGAAGCTGTAGTTGCGCATGTCAGCTGCAACCCCACTGCGACAAGTCTCCAGCCGTTCGAAAGAGTCAGATGGTGCGGGACAAGCCCCTCTCCCGGCGCCGCCGCTGCCTCGTCCTAACTGTCTTGCGTAACACACCATGAACAACAGCTTTAATCCCTAAGACAATGTTAGAAGCTGTTCTCTGCCGCCTACTGCAGCCAGTACGATTGGCCCATATTATTAGTGGGATCTAGATGCAGACCGAAATGGCGGTAGAGCAGACCTACATGGTTGTTTATGCAGCGGACGGGTGCGCGCTCTCTACTGTGAGAAGTCACATGGAATTTTTGATCCCTTAGGGTTTTGGTTCATGCTTTTCTCTGTTCTACCTAGTCTGAAACGCTGACTCTATAAGTAGAGGTCACACTGGACGCTCGGGACATAGAGCAATCCATCACTTGAAGAGCACATTTGTTCAACATGGCGTCCATTCAAGGCTTCCAAGGCAACGCGCTCATTCCCAACACCAAAGCCTACGATCGCGCGAACAACATATACGCTTCATCCTCATTCGGCAAAGAGCGTGACATGAACCCAGGAGAAATTTACCAACCCAGCAGCATCGAAGACATCCGCATGATCGTAAAATACGCCAACCAAGTCAACAAGCCGATCGTCATTAGGACCGGCGGCCACCAGTACAGCGGTGCTTCATCAACAAACCTGAATGGCATACAATTGGACCTCAAGCCGACGTTTCGCCGCCCCGGCGTCGATCAACAACTCGTAAACGAGAATGGGAAGGTTTATATGCAGTCCAGTGTTAGTTGGACCATGATGGAACTCTACGACTTCTTGACAGCAGACTTGGGAACAATCAAGTTTTTTGATTGAATTGATTGATTCTTGATGCAAAAGCTCAATCAATTCAAAATCAATTTACCCTTCGAGATTTTCCAATTAGGAACAATTAGAGGCTTAAAATTGATTGAAAAATTGATCTAATTGATCGTTATTGATCGCAGCATAGGAGGCGTAGGATGAGGCTAGCGGGGCCTACGCAAGATCGATATCGCGATAATTTTTTAGTGTTGAGTTCTTATTAGTCAGCACCTAGGTAACCTCGCAAAAGATCTGTTTCGAAACGCCCTAGCTTATGCAAACACGTTATCTAGTATCTTGTTATAGACGCCTCCTACGCCGCTAATCTACAGTATTTTACGCGCTACGCCTACCTATAATGCCCCAAAGCCTCCTAAACGCGCTGTTAATCGTGCTGCTGCACCTAATAAACGCGTTAGAGTTAGTCGCCAAAGCCCTCCATCGCAACCTCCATCGCAATTGCAGCCCGAGCTGCCTATTACAGCCTCGCCGGGCAGGGCCTTAACGATCGCCGCGAGCCAGGCCGCCGAGGAGACTCCACTCGAACTACAGCTCTTCGATCCGCTACTTAGAGACGCGATTCCTCCGCCAGCTAAGGGCTCAACTGCTGCTACCGAAGCTACAAGCGAGGCAGGCGATATTACCGGCGATACTACAGGCAATACTAGTGAGCTGGATGCCCGGTTTGCTGATACTTTTGACGGCCTTAACTGGGCTGATATACCTCAATATACGAAGCCCTTAAGGACCCTTAAGGGAAAGAAGAGCTGGGTATTCCAGCATGGCTATCGCGTCGCCAAACTCGGCAACCCTACAAGGACTTTCTGGATCTGCAGGTACTGCTATCGACACCAGAACAGAGATGGGATGCGCCCAATAGAGGTAACAACCTCAACAACAGCTGCGATAAGCCATATGGGTCAAGCTCGCGCAGGCCATCGCCTCGATCGTCAAGGCAGGCTCGCTAGTACTACGCTGCCTCGCGGCCAAACGTCTCTACGATTGTTGAGTAACAGCCGTGTAGCTGTATCTCAGGACATTGCAAACACGTTTGGGAGGATTTGATGTACAAGGCTTTCGATACGCTGCAGTCAGCTGGCTAGTCGACAACAATCACGCCCTCCGCGAGTTTGAAACACCAGCTTTCCGCGAGATGATCGCGTACGCTAACCCAGAGGCTGCAGAAGCCCTATGGGTAAGTCACCGCAGTATATCAGCCTTTGTTATGAGGCTCTATCGACACCTAGAACCCTTGGTTGTTGCAGATCTGTCGCAGGCTGCTAGCAAAATTCATATAAGCTTTGACGGCTGGACAACAAAGGGTGGTAAACGCGGGTTCTTTGGCGTTGTTGCTCATTATGCTGATACCTTTGGCAACCTTAGGGACCTACCTATTGCCCTGCCTCAACTTACAGGCGCTCATACAGGCGAGAGGATCGCTGAAGTTGTATACAAAACACTCCAACAGTTCCAAGTTGATAGCTCAAAAGTTGGATACTTTGTCCTCGACAACGCCTATGCAAACGATAGCGCTATCGCCAAACTCGCCGATATATACCAGTTCGACAGGCTCCATCGTCGACTCCGCTGCGCGCCTCATACGCTCAATCTCGTAGGCCAGGCGATTATGTTTGGAGTTAATACTCAATCGTTTAATAATAATACAGAGGAGCATCAGGCTGAGACAGAATACCTGCAAAACTGGCGGCGCGATGGTCCACTAGGTGTCTTACTTGATATAATTAACTATATCAAAACGCCTCAACAACACGATCTGTTTGCCTCGCTGCAGGCCTTAGTTAACAAGCAATCTTACACACAAACAGAAACGATATTAGAGCCTATTAAGCCTGTAGTTACACGGTGGAACAGCTATCACGACGCCTTTGAGCGTGCAGTACACCTATCCCAAACTTTTAACCTATATTCCAGTCACCATATCGAGCAGATCGCTCGCGACGACGCGTACGCTATATCAAAGGGCAACAAGCTACCAGAAGCGCCATCATGGATGCGATCAGATGGCCTATCGGCGGCAGATTGGGCGGTGGTAACTGAGTATATCGAGGCGTTGAGGCCGCTGAAGGAGGCCACCAAACGCCTTGAAGCTCGCGGCAAAACAGGTGGATTTGGAGCTCTATATGAGGTGATCCCAGTATACGAGTATATCCTTAGTACCTATGAGGCGATAATTACTACCTACGATAGCGTTGACTATAGCCCTAATAGCGCTCCTGAGGACCACCTGCCTATTAACCTAAGGGCGGCCTGGCGGAAACTAAACGATTACTACACTAAACTCGACGCCTCGCCTGCCTACTACGGCGCTGTTTCCTCCACCCGTACTACAAAAACTACTGCTTTAACAGCTGGCGCGATAAGCCTCACTGGCTTACCGCAAACGAGGATGCCCTACAACAGCTTTGGGCGCAATACAAGCCGCTATCGCTACCTACAAGAAGGCCTCTACCGCCACGATCAAACACTATAGACGATGCGATCGATGCGCTCGTTGATCGCGAGTATACAACCGAGCTGAACATATCAGAGGCGGATGAGCTTGACTGCTGGCGGCGATATGAGCCAGCGTGGACAAAGGCGCAGTTCGCACAGGAAGGCAGCCCTATACTATACTGGATTGGCCTACGCACGCGATATCCTCACCTATCGCAACTCGCGATAGATCTGCTCACAATACCAGCCAGTAGCTGCCAATGTGAGCGCCTCTTTAGCGAGCTTGGCGATCTATTAGAGCCTCGGAGGCGGAAGATTGGATCTCAACTACTAGCTGCGATACAATGTGTACGGAGTTGGAAGAGGGCAGGTTTTAAGCCTTCTAATAACGCAGAGGATACTCTAAATGAGTCTGAGTTAGCTGCGATCTACGATATATGCAATTGGGAGACAGATCTCTAACTATTTGTATACAAGATTACTCAAAGTTTCACATCAAGAACCATCAAAAAGTCAATCAATCATCAATTAACATGCCTAAAAACCTCTTCAATCAAGTCAATATTAATGTGAACTCGGAGTTTTTTCAATTAGAAACAATTACAGGCTCAAAATTGATTGAATTGATTGTTCCCATCTCTGCTTGACAGACAACGGTGTGTTCTTGCCGACCGGCCAATGTGCGACGGTATGTCTGGGTGGGCATGTACAGACTGGCGGCTATGGAATGCTTGCTCGTTCTTTCGGACTCCTTGGAGACTATATCGTCTCGCTTGACATTGTTGATGCCGAGGGCGATGCCTACACCATCACAAAGCAATCGCACCCAGACTTGTTTTACGGTTTCCTGGGCGGCAGTCCTGGTAACTTTGGAGTTATCACGCACTTTAAGGTCGAATTGCAGGAGGACGTCAAACACAAAGGCTCCAAGGGCCTGTGGATGGCTTTTCAATACAGCGAAGAGACCCTAAAGTACCTCCTCGACATCCTCATCGAAAAGTCCGAAGACGCCAACTTCCCGCGTGGCTACGACTTCGGCGTCAACGTGCTCAGCAGGAATATTAACCTCCTTGACGTCTTCCCTGGCTCCGAAGATGAATTGCGCGAAACACTGCCTGACTGGGTCATGCACAAGGTCACTACTCTTACCAACTTCAAACTCGCTCCTATTGTGGTGTATGTGCAATGGGTTAACCTGCCAGGTGAGCCTGTATTCGATCCGAGCTTGTTCGATCGTATCAGGGAAGCTCCTGGCTCGAGAATTATCGAGAAGAATAGCGGAGATGACTGGGGCATGTCTCAGATTATGAGGCTGTGGCTGTTCAATGGCGATCGCGAGTTTGGGCATCCGTATGTCAAGCGCACGAACACCACCAACTCGACCACTCTTTCTGAAGACGGCTTCTCCTCCTGGTTCACAAGCAGAGTAGAAGAACTTGTTGAAGACCGAAAGAATGGCCTGTATATTTCCTCGCAGCTGCAGGTTATGGGCGGCAAGAACTCGATGTGTACGAAGCATGCGGGGAATGGGACGGCGTATAGTTGGAGAGACACTACGCTGTGTGGTACTTGGGATGCATTTTATGATGAGAAAGTTACAACAAAGCAGAAGGCTGTTGACTGGCAGAAGGAGAACGATGATGGGGCGAAGGCGCACTTTGCTAAGCAAAAGCACGAGCGCCGGCTACTTTGGGGTTCATATGGCGATTGGAATATGAAGGACGAGAGCGTGTGGAGATGCTATTATGAAGAAGAGTCGTACAGGAAGTTACAGAAGATTAAGAAGCAGGTCGATCCGAAGGGGGTGTTTACAGCGAATCCGTTCTGCGTAGAGGCTGCCGAATAAGTTCATTGGCTGTGTGGAATGCAGAGTTCTTTTCTAAGATTCATATAAGTTACTATTTATATTGGGCATAGCCAATATAAGGCGGCGGATTATACATTATCCACGCTAGATTAGGTATCACGTTAGGGTTTACTAGCTAAAAGGGGCGAATATAGAGGCATAATCCGTCTCTATAATCTGCGGGGTAGAACGACGTCGTATACTCTATACTAAATGCCTAAACCGTGCAAATGGTGTAGGGTTAGGTTGCTCCCAGGGGCAAGAGACGAAGAAGGCTTCTCTCAAGTGCAAGCAACAAAAGCTGCCCCTAGGGGCAAGGAACGAAGAAGGCTGCTATCGAGAGCAAGCAACGAAACTAGGATTCAAGAGGGCCGAAAAGGAGGAGTATGCAAAGCGGGTTGGGAGTAGGCATGGGGAGCGGGCGTGGGGGGAGATGTTTTGTAGCAACGCGATGGTAGTCGCAATTCGGGTTGCACCGTCGAATAGCAAATCTAGTCTCTTAGTTAATTCAAGTTAAAGAAGTATCTCAGAATTAGAACCGTATGCTAGAGGGCCTAGTCTTTTCTAATTCAAATACTATTCACTTGCTCTTCTCTTCTTTTGCTAATCCATTCCACCAAAGTTTCTCTATCTTTTTCACACGATCTGCTTCTTCCCGAGCCTCCCACTCTGCGCGAGCCTGGGCGGCTTCCTCTCCCGTCACAGTGACAGAAAACGCCGGATTTTCCCAAGAACCAGCATCGGGTGGTTTACCTCCCCATGGCTTCTTTATCCCATGTTTCTTTAAAGCGGTGAACAGGGCACACATGAATCTTGAGCGTCTAGAAGCACGAAGAGCTTCATCAGAGAAATTGGACTTTTGACAAGTTAGCAATCGATTTTACACCTAGGTTTGATTACTCAATCACCTTTTGACAGATTTCAACGCGTAGATGTAGTTTCTCCATGTCTCCAATCGAGATGAGCTCAACATCAATATTTGGCTGATAATTGCGTTTATTTTGTGGTTCCAGCACAAACCTCCGAAGTTCAGACTTAAGGTTCTCAAGCTGAAACCACGTTGTCTTCGGGCTAATGGCGAAGTTGTACCGTTCCTTCATTGCTTTACTACGAGAGACGTTCTTGATCCATTGAGTGTTATTGACGATGTTGGGGATCTGAACGATACTCCCCGTGTCCACTTGACGGAATACCGTGAAGAGCAATGAGATATGCTCAACGATTAGTTCCGATCCATTAATATCAACACGATCGCCAATGTCGTATGGGTGCTTAATGAATAAGAACACCAGGGACCCGAGGAATTCCTGCACGGTAGTTGCGATTGCAAAGGATATGGCGGCAACGCTGGCCCACAGTGTTGCTAAGGTTGAAGCAATTCCGACGTTGAAAAAAGCAACTATTTTTTATTAACTTTATCAGCACTGCCAACTGAAAGAAAGAAACATTAGTCACTTACTATAGAGGAGGACAGAAACAAAGATCAGGAATACTTCGAGTATCCTATCCAAACTCTTTACTGCCTGACCGATGTCGTGCATACTTCTTTCGATGTCTTTTTTGTCTTTGCTGAACTGCGTCAACAAAAATACCATTTCCTCAAGGCTGATATCTCCATTCTCATCTTTGTCTAAAGCATGGAATACATCTAGCGCGTCTTCCTCCCGACCTGGTCCCAAAATGCGTGTAATGTCATCTTCGGTGACAGCATCTGATTCCATAGAGAATGAGAACCACAGGCGACGAGCCAATGCTTCAGAGGCTTGCTCGTTTTCAAGTGCTTTCAGAACAACGGAGCGTGGCGAGCCGACCTTGAGCACTTCTTTCCCCTGGAGCCTGGCTTTCGTCTCTGCCATTGCGTCAGCTCCATAGAATTTGCTCACTCTTTTACGCAGATGAGATTGCTGCAGTCCCCCTTCTGCTGCTGCCCGCAACGTCTGGGATCGGTGTATTTTGTCATCCTCCAAGGCAAAACGTGCACAGAATCCAGGATACAGCCTGACGGATGCTTCGTACATCTGTGCCAAGACGTGCGTAGTCCTTTTGCTTTCCTCGACCCGAACTTTGAATTGTCGCTTACGATAGTTGACAGTGAGCAAGTGAATGAGAATTTTCTGCACGAAGAACAGCCCTGTGCAAGCAACTGTGGCGAGGAGAAATCTCCGAATGATCAAAACCCAACCATCGTCACAACGCCCCGGTTTCAGCTCATCAAAGACACACAACAATGGAGTGGCTGCACGGCTAAATAGGGCAAAATAAAAAGCGGTCATCGGCAAAATGACAGCTTTAAGGATATCTGTATAGTCCTTTGCGACCGGACTAAAAAACCCGGCGAAATACTGAAACACGAAGGGCAGCACAAACGCAAGTCCCCACGAGCCCCAGAAGATAGCCCAGATAACCTCTAGCCAGACGAAAAGGCCAACGACGCGGATATCGTCTCCAATATGGGCGTCTTTTGCTACGGTCGCGGTGACGACGATGGGGATTAGAAGAAGTAGTGTTGGTGTGAGGTAATATAGCAGTAGCCGTCGAAGTAGAATGGACTTGGTGAACTTGTAAACCAAGGTTTGTAGTTTGCTTGGTTCTTTTTCTTGATCTCCATCGTCATCTCCATCTCCGCCAGACAACTCAGCGTAGGCTCCTTGTCGGTGGAAGGGCTCATAACGAACAGCCTCTTGGTGATCTGCACGGAATGATCGTCTACTTGTTGGCGTTGCTGAGCCAGATGTATGAGCGGGGCTGGTCTCCTCGAGTTCCATAATGTCGATAACTATATCTTTCGGTGAGGACATTTCCCGACCTCTTTGAGTATTGTAGTCTTGGCTACGGGTATAATGGAGAAACAAAAATTGGCTCTGGGTTGAAGCTAGTGAGAGAAAGTTCGAGAGAAGAGTCCACTAAAGGGGTGAGGAAGAGGTCGGTCCGCATAAAGTTCCGTGGCTCATAACAAAGTCTTCAACTCATAATATGCTGACAAGGGTGAATAAATGGACAAAGGCAATATTAAAGCAATTACAAATAGAGTACCATAAACTCAAGACCCCCATTGCGACCCTTACATACTATGCCTCCATCTAAGTCGCGGGCTGAAGGAGATGATGAATTCTGAGGCGCACAAAGCGCCGCCTGGCTCAGCTATGCCGTGAGTCCGGACCGCGAACCAAAGATTAACTAGACCATACAGTGCTGACCGAAATCGGTTCCCAGTTCGCGTACATCATTTGTTCACAGAGCACGGTCGTTCTCTACGGTTGCTAGCTAATAGGTGCTAGCGCTATGCAGGGACTGTCTGGTTACGAATAATTCTTAGGGAGAGTCTCGACGGCTGATCCTCTCTTTAATTAATTGCTGTTAGCACTAGCCTTAGCTGCACGATCTATTAGCTCATATTACTGGTTGAATACAATGAAGACTGTATACGGTGCTCACCTGTATCTGGTAAGCTTCCTGGGTGTACCGTGCGCTGAGAATAAACAACATACGAGAACTGGGAAACCGATTTCTGTTAGCACTATACCTGAGCACATGCTTATAATATGGTTATTTGAATAACTAGTTAAGCAGACGTTAGTGTACTAAAGCCCTTTTCAGCTAATGAGACAGATATTGTTAGTAACAAGATTTCCTCTGATTAGTTAGAAAAGTCTTTGGTACGCTAAAGTTTGCTTGACTGGTTATCTAAATAACTATATTATAACTATGTGCATACGTATAACCTAACACTACAACAAAATTGCTTTAATTGCTAAGTTAATACTGTCTTTACGAGAAAGTGATTCAATGTTTAGTTGTTGAAACATAGTTGTTGAAAGTGGAGATGGTTAGAAGCTTGGTGCGGGTGGTAGCTCGCTTGCAGATGACGTTAATGAAGGTAAGTTAAGATGTTGTTTGGAACCATTACGTAAGGAAATGCTCTAGCGTGACGTCTACTAACGCGTGTCCAATTCAAGGTTCCCCGCATCCTGACTTGCATCAACCTGTAAGAGGCGGCCTTTTCCAGCCCTCGATGTCAGAATTCCTTTTCTCACATGTCATAATGAGATGTAGTGCTCCCAGCCAAACAGCCTCCGTTGTTCTCCAATGTACACGTCCTTCTACAATATCACTTTCGCTTTCTCTTTTTTCTCTTCATTTATCCTACAACTGTGGATGAATTTGTCTAACCCTAGGACATACGTCGTCAATCCAAGCTTCCAGGGATTGCCAAGTGACCGCCTATTCCAAAGACTGCATATCTGCCACGAACAAGACTTTTCGCAGCTAAGCCATGAAGCACAGCAGCTGAGCTTTGCTTTAGTGTGGATCCTGAGGTTGCATATTTTAGACCGAATCGGTTAGGATGGAATTATCAGCCTTCCATTCGGAACCCGGTCATACTGACTGATCTGGGTAGGCATATACTAGCACTACTGAGAGCTGAACAAAGCAATTCAAGAGCTAGAATGTGTTCGGCCAAGATCTCACGCTTGGTAAACTAGGCAACCTGGAGGCTGTGCTATGCTCGTCGTTCCTCACCTCAGAATAGTGTAGTTCATCTTGATGAGCCTCTAAGCTGAGATACTAGCCAATTTTGTCCCCCAACGATGCAAGAATCACCAATCTATAAACACCACTTTTGCCGTTCTGTTAAACTGGTTGGTATTATCTTTCCTTGATATGCAAGACGAACCATTCGAAATCTCGCAACCAGAAATATTGTTCGCACAAATGTATTCAGCACCATCGGATCCATTCGACGATAATGAAGCGTTGCTAAAAGGCCTTACGCAACCATCGATACCTCCCACGTATTACGATATTCAGACTCGGAAACCAAAGTCGCAATTCATCTTCCGAAATGCCTTACGAGCTGGACCTCCCATTTTGGCGGGCACACTCTGGTTTTCGATGATGTCATACTTTCTGATCTACTACGAAACGCTTCCGAAAGATACCCAAGGCCGCCTCCCAAGGATCGGATCTGCATACAGCACCTTCCCCTACATTTCCTGTAT